ATGACCACCTCTTACTTACTATACACACAGACACACACACACACACACACAGACACACACACACACACACTGGGTGCCTCTGGGCATTTCAGGTAGGCAGGACCCTTGTGTTAAAGGGCCCCAGAGAGCTATAATTGGCCATCTTCTCTCCCCATCTCTTACCTGCAGTCATTTCTCCAAGCAACACCTTCTCACAGCCTCTTGACACTCTGTTTAAAATCTGCTATAATCCACACAGAACTCAAGGTTGCCATGGGTAACCAGAGTCTAAGCTTGTACCAACCCTAAATTTAATTTTACACACAATTTGAAGGCAGTGGGGAACTGTGCTAAAGGTTACTTCTGGTCAGGGCTGACGCTTACCCAGCCTTCACAGTAGGTAATGCTCTATGCCAGGTATCCCCTTCCCATGTCCCCAGATGCCCATCTGCTTATGCAACACCCTGGCTCTTCTCCTGGGACCACACAGGATCCATACATCTCAGGACCCCAAAGGTGCTGTCTGGCTAGGGGGGCTCTAGGATCCTGTCCCTGCATGCACTAGCATCCTTTCCAAATGGTCAGTATCCCTGGTCAACCAGCTCTACCATGCAGCAGTCTCCCCTTACTCATGGGTTTTAGTTATTTGTAGTCAACTACGATCCAAAAATACAGTACAGTACATAGCATATGTTGAGAGAGAGAGAGAGAGAGAGAGACCGGATTCCTGTAGCAATATAGCAAAGTGTTATACTCGTTCCATTTTATTATTACTTATTGTGGTCAATCTCTTATGATATCTAATTATGCATTAAAATTTACCATAGCTATCATGTACAAGAATGCATGTACAGCTTTGCATGTCACAGATAGGGTTTGGTACCGTCCAAGGATTCACTGGGGGTCTTGGAAAGAATCCTCTGGAGATGAAAGGAGACCACTGTCACCTGAATATCACTCTAGTTTCTGGGCTGAAGACTGTTATTTGCCTCTCTTGTGACTGGCTGGTAGAATGTGGGTGTCCTCTCATTTCCCAAACTCTAAGGCCTTTTCTGAGGTACAGGATGGGTTCTGGGTTCAGATTTCCTGAGACCAGCTGGGTACAGTATTAAAAGTTACTTTAGGAGCCGGGGATTTAGTTCAGCGGCATAAGCACCTTCCTGGCAAGTGAGAGGTCATAAGTTTGATCCCTGGTACCAAAAAAAAAAAAAAAAGACAGAAGCTACTTTGCACTGAACTCCCAGCATGTGCCAGATGCTGTAGTTCAGGACATCAAGTAGGTCATCTCTCATCCATCACATGTTCCTTCTGGGGAAATATGTAGAACCCGCCTCTACCACTGAGGTAACTTGTCCATGGTCAAGAGGCCAGCAAGCAGCTCTGGAAGCCAGAGCCATCTCTCTCTGAGGCTTCTGTCCTGTGTGCTTGGCTCCTTTCACATTTATTAATGTATAAAAATGTCCAAGTTACAATTTAAAAGTAAAATGTTGGCCCTTTTACTTTTTGAGAAGTCTATTTATTTTTGTTTGGGTGTGTGGGTTTCATTTAATTAATTCCACATTGCATTACCAAGTTAGAACAATCTGTCCCCAGGGAACAGATCTGATTTACTTATAGAAAAAAAAAAAAAAAAAACCTAGCAGAGGGAGGGACTGGGCTTCCAAAGTATTCCTTGTAGGAACTAATCTAAAAACCTTCCCAGTTCTTCTTGGACCAAACAGAAGTAAACAGAATACCGCAAAAAAATCCCATCTTCTCGGAGTGGTTCCGATAGAGCTGAGAAACAAACTTCCTTTCATATGTCACCAGCTATGACTGCAAGAAGCAACAGTGACATCAAGCGCCACTGATTTCCCTCCTGCACCCAGAAAGTTCTCTGGAAGTTCACACAAGAATGAAGCTGTCACCACTCACAAGAACAAGAACTTTAAAACTCCTTGGGGAGCCTACTAGCTAGACCAGCAGCAAAGAAGGCAGGAAAAGTCAGTAATTTGGGGGTGGTCTTAAGTTTAGGTCCCCTCCTGAACCTGGGGTATGGAGGAGCTGCCACATCCATCCATGGCTGTGAATTTTCTGATCATTCCTCAGAGATGAACATTCCAAATTGACCCTAAACTAGTTTTTGGAATAAGCCAACCATGACCTCATCTTTCTTTTGCACCTGCTCCTCCCACACTCAACACATGCCGTTCTCAAAAATACTTACAGTGCTCTAAAGTCGCCAGAGGAAATTGTCTCAGGGAGCAAACTGTCTGAAGATTGAACTGACATAGGTTGAACAGGTTCAGAGGATCACCTGTGTTAAGTTTCCTGAGCCTGAAGTAGCAAAGTACCACAGCTGAGTGACTTAAGCAGCAAATGTTTACTATCTCAGAGTTCCAAAAGCTAAAAGTTCAACACGAGGTGTCAACAGGGCCACACTCTCCCCACTGCTGGGGAAGACTCTGCTCCAGGTTACCTCTCCCTTAGCCTTTGTAGTCCTTTGACTTATGGTAGCACAACTCCAGTCTTCTCCAGGCATTCTCCCTGGGTGTGTGTGTCCATAATTGCCTTTTATGAGGATGCCAGTCATATTGCATTAGGGGCCCACTCTGCTCCAGGATGACCTCATCTTAACTAATTACATCTATTTCCTTACTTCCTGATAAGGTCACTTTCTGAGGTATTTAGGTTTAGGATTTCAACATGAATTGTGAGGAACATAATCCAACCCATAACATCATTTAAGATAGTTTTGAATGCAAAATCAAACTCAAGAGACAGAGTAGATCAGATTTGCCAAAAGAGCATCTCATACTGTGTATGATTCATCCCAGTGGCAGGGTAGACAAGAAGTTGGCCTGTTGATCCCTGAAATCTGCTGCTTACAAATAAGTGTGAATAAGCAACCTTCAAGTGAGGAGCAGAGAGGTGCACTGGGGTCTCCACAAAACCTTAGATCCTTCTCAGCACTTTATAGGAAAAAATCCACATAGGTAGTTGCAACATTTTAGTTCTGAAGGAAACTGCTAGTTACAATGAACAAAAAGAGAACATTTAAGAACATTCAAAAAATAGTATCTGAACTGAATGTATACAGACTTTTTTTTCTTGTCATGATTTCCTAAATGATACAGTATAAGAACATGTATGTAATATTTCCAGTGTATTAGGTCTTATAAAGAATGATTTATAGCATACAAAAGGATATGCACAGGTTGTAGGCAAATATTATGTAATTTTATATAAAAGGAGCTGAGAGTTCTTAGAGTCTGGTATCCACTGAGCGTCTTGGAACCAACTGCCTTGGATACCTAAATCTCAGAGTGCAGCTAGCCCTAACGCCCTGCCTAGATGGAAGTTTGCCAAAGGGATTTCATGTGATTTGTCTCCCAAGGGTGCATGTGGCAATGCTGGGAAGTGGTGTGGACTGCTAAGAGGTAGGTTCTAGCATGAGGTCCTTAGATCAACTGGGGACACCCTCAAAGGGCTTGGGGGACCTCACAGTCCCTCTATGGCTTCCCAGCTGTTGACAAGCTTTCTAGCTCACATCTGTGTTCTTGTCAGGACACTGACCACCAGAGGCTTGTCCAGTGGGGTGACTGATCTTGGACTTCCAGAAGTGTGAACTATTCAAACTCTTCTTCATGAGTAGACTCCCTTTGGTATTTCATTATAGTCATGAAAAGTGGATTAGTTGATTCTATATAAAAACTGAATTGCTATTTATAAGATGAGGAAAGGGACCATCATTCCTCATCAATTTGGATAGGCAGAAGCCTGTTAGTCGGTGCTACTCTTTTTCTTCTTTGGAATCTGGAATTATGCTGAGGAGGTATTTTGTGCACCTATAAACCATCTGTGACATTATGTACCAGGCCACAGTGGTTAGGAGTGTAAACCATGGGGTCCGGATCACACCTGGTTCTGCCAGGTGTGATCTTGGGCAAGTTACGTGTGGCCATCAAAACTGTTTTCTACAGAGATGTGGTAGGTATTAAGTGAGGCAGTGGTTGGCAGATGTTCCCTATGCTGAACACTGCTCAATAAAGGGTTCTTCTTATAACTGTTCAAGGGGGATAAGAAACGAACCTTGAAAAATCAGGGTGGTCTCTCTTGACATGTTAACTTTGTGGTTGTTATGAGGCAGTGAGAGACCAGGACTCCAGGGGCACATAGTAGAGGGCAAATGGAGCAGGTATGTGATACTTAACGCATGAACATTCCAAAGAAAGGAATTTGAGCAGTCCTGGGAGGGAACATGTAACTCTTGGAGTATCTGCCTGAAAAGAGTGTTTCTGTGTACCCATAGGGATTTAAGCTACACTGCTAACAGTGTGTTTATGGCACAGGCCTTGGGTCACAAGGTATTTTGATCTCTGAAGGGACTAGAGACTGAGTAACTAAGGTCAGCCACACGGGTCCTTCATGCCCACATGACCAGCCCCAAGAACCCTGACACCAAGCCTTGAGTGAGCTCCCTGGCTGGTATTCTACATGTTGTCACACATCCCTCTGGACCCTGCTCTGTGCTTTGTACCTTTGCTGATGTTAATCTGTCTCCTTTCACTGTAATGAACCATAACTATCACAACTTCGTGGAGTTCTCTGAGTCCTTCTAGTGAATCCCTGAACCCGAGAGTGGTTTTAGAGACCTCTTCATTCACCTAGGAAACAACAAAGCTGTCCAGTCTTAACTTAGTATCACGGTGGGTGGCCACATGGGTAAAAAATAGAACTGTGCTTAAAAGTGTTCAGTAAACATTCTGATGAGATTCAAGTGGATCTTCTAGGAAAGGGTTTCTGGATTTTAAGGCTGGTGGCCCTGAGCTGTTGTCTCTAAAGTGATACGAGATAGACAAATGGAAACACATCTGGGTCCTACCTTTGGTGCTTCAATTCAGTGTATTTTCCTTGAAGAAGATAATGGCCATCAGCTTCTTATCAGCAGAGGCTGTGACTTGCAGCTGCTGACCAGGCATAAACACAGCACGGGGTCCTGTCTGCAGCCCTGTGCATATCCTGGCGCACCCCTCACTTACCTGGCCCCACTGACGTCGACTCCAACCATCAGCTGCCCGTTCAGGGAGAGGATCTCGTCCCGCAGCCGGACCTTCCCGCTTTTCCCTGCCGGGCTGTTCTTCCTCAGCTCTGTCACCCAGATGCAGCCCACGTCCAGCACAGGGCCCTGGTGGGTTTTCCTCTTCTTGCCCCCTCTGCGCTTTTCACCATAGTCCCCGAAAACAGGGATGTTCCCAAAACTGAGGCCCACAGTCTCTGTGTCCCCCAGCTGCTTGGTGAGGTACACAGTACAGATCTCCATTTCTGGGGGGCTGTGGTCAGGGGAGACCGGGTTCTCATCCACCGCCAAGTTGAGCTGGATGTATTCCTGCAGCTTCCGGATGGCCGCCTGGCACAGCCGCTGCTCCGGCCCATCCCCGCCCTCCCGCAGGCTGTTCTGCAGCCACTGACAGAGGAGGGGCAAGTGCAGCCTGGCATTGTCCTGGGTGATGGGCATGGTGCTCACTCCGGGACACCAGCATCATGAGAGGTCCTGCTGCTGAGGGCCAGACCCCTCGGGGCCCCATGTCCCTTGGGAACCCTGGCTGTCATCAGTTCTGCCCGTGTTCATGTTCAGGCTGGTGGATGGGCCCAGGAATGCCTCCTTGAGGCTGTTGGCCTTGGCAAGAGAAGGACAGGACACAATCAGAACAACAGTGAGACAATGGCTTCAGAACACTCAGCAAGGGAAGCCAAGAAGTTTCCAGCAAGTCCCTGTTTGGTTCTTTTCACAGCAAGATCCATGCAAGTGCCATGGAGATTGGGTACTCTTGCAGCAATGACAGCGTGGCCTCCCTTGGGCTCATTCACGCCTGAAAGAGGAAGAGCAAAAGACAAAAACTTCAGTTACAACAGTGAGCTTCTGGCATAGAACATATGGCCCTCCAGATTACATACAGAAGGACCAGGTTTGCGTCTTAGACACCAGGAACTTCCTTCTTCCCCAGTGTGGCTTCTTCCCCAGTGTGGCTCCTGCATGCTGTACACACACACACACACACACACACACACTTCCTTCCCTCACACAGAAGTGTTCACTAGGAAGTATCACTGAGCAGCACAAAAGTAAAATGTCTTTTGCCAGGACACATTTCCCAATATACCATCAAACTCACCTCCAACTGGGAGCCTGTAAAAACAAAAACAAAAACAAAAGAAGACCCTGGGAAGGTTGCGGAGGGGTGCATAATGTCACTTCTACTGAGAATGGATGAATTTGTTGGAGGGGGAATTAAACAGAGTTGGTAGATTCCAGTAGCATGTCAATAAATTACCTTAGCAACTAAGCATTTCTTTTGAATGCTAAAGCTGTCAGCTTCAGGCTAACAAAATTAATTTAAATTATCATGGATGTGTGCCTGAGATTGGACTCTAGTTGCAGAATTCTATATAGTAGGCTACTAGTTGGCTAATGCAGTAGGCTTCTGGGGCCACAAGTCCTGCTCACTGATGAAATGGATTGATTTCAGAAGACGAAGCTTTTGGCTCTTCATACAGGCCCATCACAGATGAATGTCAGTGTCAGTATTTGTAAATGCAGATGTCTGGGCAAGTGCAAGGTCATGAGTTTGATCCCCAGTACAAAAATAAACAAATAAAAATAATAATAAGCTGCAGATGTCCAGTCTGTCTTTTAAAGGGCAACATGTTGCCCCCTGGAATGCTTCCCTGGGTTTTGTGGAAGAAGCCCATTTTTCACAGTAAGGGTTGAATATCCTTTTTCTGAAATCCTTGAGACCTGAAGTGCCTTGGATTTCAGATGGTTTTGGATTATGGAATATCTCCATGTATACAAGGAAATATTTTGGGGCTAAGTCATGTCTAAACATGAAATTCATTTATGTTTCCTACCCACCTTCTGCATACAACATAAAGGGAACTGTGCAATATTTTTAGTAATTTCATAGTATGGAATTTTCCACTTGTGGCAGCAGGCTAGTGCTCAGAAAATTTCAGATTTTGAATGACTTTGGAATTAAGTTAGGGTATAGACTGATGAGTTGGACACTGTCATTGTATTTGATGACATCTCTGTTGAGTCCAAGGACCTGAGAGATCATTTAGCTCAATTTCCTCGTTTTAAAGATGAGGAAACAGCTATAGATGTTGTTAGGTCTAACAGAAAATATTTTGATTTCTTCAAATGATTTTAATATATATAAAAGATTTTAATATGTCTGTGTGTGAAGTTATTTTCAGTGAGAGGTATTACTTATTTTGGCCAAAGAAGTCTTTGTATAAATATGGATTATCTTTTCTTTGATTTCCTCTGCGTTTTCTTTTAATAACTCTGTTATATAAAAGATATTTGTTAAACTTTTGATTTATTTAAAACCAATTAAGAGCTGACACTCAGGTTCTTCGGAAACTCAAAATACACTATATTGGAAATCTCTTTTTGGTGACTGAGTAATAAGGTCATATATTATTGACATGGTTTCTGACACCTCTTCCATTTGTTATTATTTCTTGCTAAATCACTTCCTGAGAAGCAGGAGAATGTTTTTCACCTTAGATGACACGGTTTATATTGACTTTCTCAAGGCGAAAGTGAAGTTCAGGGGAAAGGGTGAAAGGGACCGCTTTTCTATGTTTATGGAGAATGGAGGTGAAAATTTTCTTTGATGGAGAAGGATATTTGGCAGTGGAATTCAATGAACCTTTCACTAGAGGACCAGTGGTGTGCCAGGCACAGGGCAGATTTCAAAAGGGGAATCTGGGTGTATTAAAAAGATACACCTGCAGCAGCTGGCCAGGTGGCTGGTCGCTATGGTAAGCCAAAAAGGAGCCATAACTTCTCATCAGAAGTTTGAAAAAATGTGTCCCTAGAGGAGATAGCTTTGGGGTTGGTCTAGAAATTGGTTGCTTTTAATAGTTTCTCAAAGGAAGGAAGAGGAGACAAAAGTTGTAGGATGCAAAAATTCATGATTTTCTTCTGAATCTCTATGACAAAGATGGAACCAATGGCCAAGCTTAGAAATACTGTGAGAAAACGAACTCTTTCTATGGTGATGATTGACACTTAGGTTGTTCTAGAATACAGAGACCCCCTGCATGTCAGTTAGGCTGATCAAGACAAATGAACATAAGTCTGAATTTCTAGGAAGGTAAGCTCTTAAATATGTCCAGAACCCTTTTACAACTTTCAAAGGGGACTTTTCACACAGTCTCTTTGTTGGAAGTGAGTTTGATGATAGATTGATGAGGCTTGTCCTGGGCTTATTCCTTCTAAATCAGCCTGTTCCTGACAATCTCAACCTACCCAGCCCCACTGTACCCAGGCCCATACCCAGTCAGTGATCCCTGCTGCATGACCACCAAAGAACCTTATAGGATGGGCACACATATAACTTGTGCTAGAAGCTTATGGCCACTCATCTGCAATCCATCCTGTTTTCCTTTATTTGTGGGCTAGCAATGTATTCACCTACAATGCAACTGCTCTTCCAGGAATGGATTGCTATATGACATTCTGACCAGTGAGATGGAAGTAGTAGCTGCTGGGTGGGGCTGACACCAACATTTGTTAGAGAGGAAAGTAGAAAGAAAAAATACATCCCCATGTTGTTTCATTCACTGTTATGTGAATTTTTCAAAATCCAGCCAATTAGCTGAATTAAACCTCAAATAAATAAAGAATTTCATTCTAGAAGTAGGAAAACTAAAATTAACAGGCCCTCTACAGTGGAATTGGCTGAGCAAGAGAGGCTGACCATACAGGTGTCAAGGACTTGGATGTAGAAGATGGGAAAGTGGTGACCCTAGTAATATAATGTGAAATAATTTGGTCAAACTGCCAATTGCTTTACCTTGAAAAGCTATTTTGTGTTGCTGAGGTTATAGAATTAGGGGGCCCGACAGAAAAAAATTATAGATTGCTGGTAAGTGGTTTGTCTCTTGCAGCAAAAATCGGGAGCACATCGATTCTATGGGCATTCAGAGATGGACAGACATATCACAACACACAGTAAGTAGCATATGTTAGTTATAATCGAGAGAGATGGGAACAGCTCATGAGTTAGAGAGTAAAGGCTATGAATCATCAGGAATTGACCAGAAACACATACTAGATGCTTAGTAATATGTGTGAGGAATTCACATTGCCCAACCTTGCTAGCAACCACCTGGAGTGGCTCAACTCCTAGAGCCATCTTAAAACACTTCATTTCCCTCCTTCTTTCCTTAAATAGACTTAGAAATGTGTTTCATCCCTAAAAAGTTAGTCCTCCCCACATCTATGAAAGAGGTGGCCATGGAAAAACATGCATAAAGAATAACTTCCCAGAAAGAGGCAAGGATAGTGCTATAGTTTGTGTCTAGATGCCCCCACAAAGCCTCATGAGGTCATGGGGGTGGGCTTCTAGAATTTGTGATTGATTCATGGTCCAATACTGGAATTATAGGTGTGGGTGCTACATTGCCCTGGGGTGGGTAACCTATATACAATATGAGGGAGGGAAAGAAGCCTGCCTTCTCTGTCTTCACCTTTTGGCTCTTGTTGCTTTTTCTGTCTTCTGCCACCATGAACAGTTGCCATCTGCCATGCCACCCTGCCTTAGAGCTAGCTAATATGGACTAAAACCTCCACAAACTGTAAGCTAAATAAACCTTTCCTTCCTTAATTTTTGGCATTAGGTATTTTGTTTCAGCAAGAAGAAAAAAAGTAATCAAGACAGATGATCATAAACAAGGGCTCTATCCACAGACCAAACAGCTGCCAACTTGGCCATCTATAGACTCCCACCTTGCCCTGGAAGATTTGATCATTGTAACGGATAGTTGTTGCTATGTTTTCTGTTCTCCTTTTATAAATGGAAGTTTTTTTTTTTTTTTTTTATTGTAGTTACTTCACTCCTTCCCCAGGATTGTATGTTGGGTGTATTGGGGATTGTTTCAGGAAGTCACATCTAGAACTGGTAGAGAAAACCATACAGTACCCACTTGAGTATGATGACTGGATGAGGTTTGGGAGCCACCTCTCAGGAATGAGGAGTTTTTGCCATGCATGGCAGTGAGTTATGTTTGAGTAATCAGAGAAGGGGACCATAGCAGAGTATAACTTGCCTATACATTATTCCTTCTCCCCTTTTCCTAACAGAAACCCACTGTGTTTGTGGAGCAAGTACCCAGCCAAAAAGTTGTTTCTTGGTTCCCCTTCAGAGGAGGGTGATCATAAGATACACTCCACGAAGTTGTTGGTTAAAACTTCAAATGTAGCCTCCCCCGCAACTCCTACCCTCACCTATTTTCTTGCTTAAAATGCATGTGATGTGGAGCTTTGGCAACTTCTTTGTGACCAATCATAAGGCAAAGGCCTGACAGCCTTTAGTAAGCTGTACCAACTCACTTCTTCAGACTGTTACTACAAGAGAGGAAAACAGGCCTCTACTTTGTTAAACATTCTGTTAGATGAATAAAATCCTTAATTAATGCATAGTTTTAATTAGCTCTTGTCTGTCAGATTGAAGACCCAGAATATAGCATAATCCTGAGTCTTTCAGCTGCAGCTTGCTACTTTGCCCATTAGCAGTTATTGAGTTATTACCTTGATTTGGAGACACATATATGTGCGCACACACACACACACACACACACCTTAAATTAAATTGAATTAAAAATACAAAACATGTTTCTGCCCCTTAGAGAGTTGAAAGCACACACAAGCTCTCCTACTGATTTATCAGCACCATTATGACATTTGTAGTGTTACAGGCAAGCCTACAACTGATTGGGAAACACTGCAATACAAATTATCAGGACTCCATTAAGTGGGCTTGTGTTTTAGAGGACAAAGGTACTGGCTAGTTTTTCA